ACACGAACAGTGACTTCATGAACAATTTCGAACACAATCTTATTTCAAACAAGCTCTGTTCGTTCGTGTTCGGTTCGTTTACAATCTTAATTCAAACAAGCTCTGTTCGTTTGTGTTCGGTTCGTTTACACCCCTAATTTACTAATTTGTTTTCTATTACTTTTATACGTTGCCTCCCAATCCATATCTCTCCCATCCAATCTAAAGTAAGTGAACGATGCAATAGTTTTCTTTTAAATATATTAACATTCATGCATGCCTGAAAGTCTGTGTTGAATTATCATCTTAAAGTTGCATGAAAATCCAACACATACTCAGGAGACACATCATTTTTTACATGAAAATCCCATGAAGAGGATAAAAAGTATGGAGCCTAGCACAATGGAAATAATCTACTAAGAATGGTGAGTGCAGAAGTCCACTCTTTTTCTGAATTAGTAAAGATGGAGTTACAAAGTTGATAATTATAAATGGATAACAGTGTTTCACTGAAAATAGTCATAGTCTGGCTATTATGAATTTACACAACAAGGATTTAGTTTATTACCGACATTCAAAAATAGTAGGTAATAATATTGAAGTTGTCGGTAAACTAATTACCAACAATTAAACTATGGTTTATTCGACATAACAAAAAATGCTTGTCGGTAATATAATTAACCACGACATTGCCAGCGCTTATCTGACGAACATTAACTGTCACTGTTGGTTCAAATCCACGGCGTGTTATATGATTAGTGTTCGTCGATAATATGACCGGCACATTTATCTGTCAGAAATGTGTTGCACTTACGCCAAAAAAGTATTGCGCTTCTGTCGAAAAAGTGTAACACAACCATTAGTTAATCATAGATAATTAATGGCGGCTTTATCTGTCGGAAAAGTGCAGCGCCTTATAAAGACGTCGTTGGTTCAATAGTTCGCCGAACAACTATCGGAACATAATTAGAGAGTAATAAAACCGTTGATAAATCGTTGATTACCCGTAGCATTAGGGAAAAAAAATAAAACTCCTTCGACACTATAATTTATACACTTACAATTGTAAAAATATAACACTCTCCTAGCTCATAGGATTTAAGTTCGAAGGGCACTCGCCAAATCTAAAGAGCAATCACTTGCCTCGAACGAACTCTTTTGGAAGCTTAAAAGAAATCCACCTATTCATAAGTGGCAAAAAAATTAGTAAGACACCCTCAAAAAACACACCAAGAAAAAAAATCTACATGTATTCGGATTATTGTGTTCATAGATCTGAAGTGATTTTCATGTATTTATTTCTTATATCAAAATATTATAGCACCCAAAAATCATATAAATATGAGATTAATATTAATAGTCTGAATTTCCTAGCAATAAAAATAAAATATATCATTCATAAATCATCATTAACAAATTTAGATTCAATTTCCTTTGAAGTTCAATGAGTGTATACAAGTTGTCTCGAAGGAATTTCATTGTGAGATTCTAAAGAAGATGTTGTAGGCAAAAAATCAAGAACCTATACTCACCCAATCATCCCTCACTTAAGGCTTCTGAGTGGGGTCATTCAAATATGCCTTTGGCTTTCAACAACTAAAGATGTTGCTAGAGTTAATGGAAATCTCCAATAGTCATATCAATGCTAAAGTGTATATCAATATAATCAGGTCCTCAACCTCAATTCACTTGAGAGACACTCTAATGAGACAGAACATTCAGCAAGTTCTCGGCAATGATTAAATTACTTTAAAGTTTAAAAAATAAAAAGGACGTGCTTCTAAGATTATTTGTATTGTAGTTCAAGGATTCACTCTCAAGGAAACAGTTAGGATTATTGTGTCCATGGTCATATGAAATGATTAAGCTTAACCTCCTCGCCTCGCCCCTGGCCCCGGCCCCTTCTGCAATACCATAAGGAGAGAGCATCTATCCATTTCTGCCAAATTATTACTCTACTACGAGTATCAATGGTTGAATTAATGGAGGACATAAAATAAAAACTTATTCAAACTCACATATAGTGGATATTTGCAATTGAACCAAGCTCCGTGGTTTTTTCCTTTACAGGTTTTCCATGTAAAATCTTATAGTATCATTACTGGTTGTTTTTGTTTTACCTAATTGTGTGTTGAATTCTCTTGCAATGCTAAAACAATAATCTATTACTCTGTCTTCATGAATTTTCTAGTACGCATCAATGTTAATGTCCAGTCATTACTGGTTGTTTTTTTGTTTTACCTAATTGTGTGTTGAATTTTCTTGCAACGCTGAGACAATAATTCATTACTCTACCGCCATGAATTTTCTAGTACGCATCAATGTTAATGTCCAATTGTTGAAAAAATGATTTTAGTTGTTGTTTTTATAAATACTTTGCTCATTAGTGAGTTTTCATTAAAAAGGATAATGAATATAGTAAGGTTAGCTTAGAGCACTAATCCCTTGGAGAAGAACTTGAGTGGAGTATTCGTGAAGTCTATAGTGCGTATCAAAGTCTTCAAGTTATTCTAGTGTGCGGTTATGTTTCTTTGTAAACTATTTAATTTTTAGTGATGAATGCATTAATTAAAACTTGCAAGAACTCCTTTAATTTTAAATCAAAAACCATATGCAAAATTATATGTGTGCATATTACATTTGACAAAAAAGTTTTGCGAAGCATCAAATTATTTTCACTTCTTAATCATACATTTAGTATTTGACCATACATATGATTTATTGATTGTACATATGATCATACAATTA